CTTTGTTACTCTCTGGATTTCTTCATAAGTCTCATTGTCAGCGATACAGTCACCAATACCGATACTGTGACCTTCAATGAGAGTCCAGTTGTTCACAACAGTCTGAATATTGCCATAAAACATACGGGCAATCTCATGACCGAGTTCAACAGCAACAATATGGACCAAACTTCCTGACGAGGTTCCCAGCGATTTCTTACACAAAATGCCAGAGATCAGCTCACCATGTTCTATCAGAACCTATCAAAATGGGATAAAAAAGGGTGTTATCTCTTAATTATGAAAAATAAACAAAACCACAACCAGTAGATTTTATCAGGCTTTGGTTCAATCATTCAGTTCTTTTACCTAAATTTTAGAAAAAGAAAATGAGTATCTTGCATTGAAAGCATAGGACTTGGAAAGTCAAATTAACCCAACCTAAAAAGTAAACAAAGACCAAATGAAATAAAACAAAGGCCAACTTGTGTGGAGAGTATGTACCTTGGTGTCACCAGGAGAGATGTGCTTGTATGGTCCACTGTCTTCATCATCTGGATGGGTACTGTGCGTGCGGATCATGTTCACATTTCCAGGAATGATCATACTGAAGATCTGTTTTCCTGTCCACAAAGGCTTGGGCTTGAGGATGGCTGGCTGTATAAGCTTTCCATCCCAATCAGGAATCCACATCATCAGATTCATCATAGTGTCCTGATGAAACAATAAAATATCAAACATAGAGTTCTTGTCGGACCACAAGAAATTACACTTTTGCATGGCTATCCACTTTACAATAATTAAGTATTATGAACCCAAATTCTCACAGCTAAGAAACTCAGGGCATCCAATTTCTTGGTTTTGACCAGAATGAACTGATTCTTCTTGCTTAAATACTTCCAGTGCCTAGTCCTAACTATAGATACTAAATTCAAATACATTTTAGCACTCTAAACATGACCGAGTACAATAAATATTAGTGTCCCTTGCAATGCTGCCCCACTGACATAAAGGTCAACAACTACGTGCACTGTGACACATAGGCTGATATTCAGAAGGCAAGAAAGCATTACAGAGAGGTATATTGATCTCACACACCCATGACTCAAGCGTTCTCAATCTGCAGCTTCGCGCTGTTGAGCAACTACTGACACACTAAAACAGTTCTACAGTTGACCCTGTAGACAACGCAGAAGTGTGCCAGAAATATTGCTCCAAGAACGGATCTAAGGAAGTGTGTAGTTAATTGTCATTACTGACTTTCTTCTCATAAGGAGAACAACCTGTTAAATTAGTCCGGATAACAGTAACATTAACTCATAACATTATACCCAACACACCTTACTGATTGTCATACAGATTTGTACCTGAAGACAAACCAAACAGCAATTTCACTTCCAAGTTTGTTTAACTTGACAAACCCACCTTCTCAAGAAACACATCTCTTTTTGTGAATCTCCTTACAGCCATCAAAGAGTCCTGCACGATACCCATAACAGGTTTGTTTGACTGTGGTGTGACAATGTTTCTCGGCACCATCATGATCTCTGTGATTTCTGCGCGTGCCTCTAGGGACTGAGGGACATGCAAGTTCATCTCATCTCCATCAAAGTCAGCATTGTAGGGTGTGGTCACACTAAAATGGAAAGACAGACATAAGGTTCTCATGAGGAGCTAGAAACCAACAAAACTATTACCTTAGCATGCTAATGGCTCAGGATTGTGGCAGTGTCTTTATAGTGTTCTTACAGGAGCAAAAATTTTTATTACATTATAAATATTGTTAAACAAATCGGCATTCCAAGGTGCAACTTATAGTCACCATGGCAATGAATTGAGTTTGTTTTGCCAACAAAGCTTTTAATGAACAATAGTTTTAAGACAATCCTTCATCTTTCCATTACCAACAAAAGCTGAAAAATTTACAATCCTTCAAACACCAAGTACAAATAGTGATAATCACATTCTGTTAGATGAAGACGATTCCTTTAGTTAATGATGAACTCAGTCAATAAGATCCATTGTACAATGTTGACAACTAACCTGAGATTCAATCTGAATGTTGACCATGGCAAGATTTTAACCCTGTGCCCCATCATGGACATTTTGTGAAGAGTAGGTTGACGATTGAAGATAATCACGTCATCATCTCTGATGTGTCGCTCCACCTTAAAAAATACAATGCAAATTCATTAGCTTCTTTCCTACACTCTAGAAAGTCTTGAAAAACACTGGCATGAACTTCACGACTGCTCAAACACACCCTATATCCAAACTGAAGATGCAGATCGCTTGGCTTGGGATGAAACCTCAGGTCAATACGCTCCCCATTGTCCCTGATAATGTATTTAGCACCGGGATACTGATTGTTTCCACGACGCACAAGCTCTTGCATGCTAAAGAATCAAAAAGAAAATTTACTTAAATGTAGAACAAGCTAGGATAATGCAGTTTCATCTAGTTATGAGCACTACACTTTGCAGCTTTTAATTTTCACAACCTACCTTGGAATGGGTCTTTTGAGACGAGTGACAAATATAGAGTTTTATTCTTCATTTCATATGTACATGTACATGTATGACTTAGATTTCATGATTATTTGGTAATATTTGTGAAGATTTGTATCACTGCCAGTATATAGAGGAAACTTGAAATAATTTCACAAGCAAACCTGTCAATGTTGAATGGGGTGACAATTTCAGGGAAAGTAAGATTCTGAGCAATAGTCCGTGGAACTCCCACTTGGTCAATAGACAAGTTAGGATCTGGTGTAATGACAGCACGAGCTGAAAAGTCAACTCGTTTTCCCATCAAATTTCCTCTGATACGTCCTTCCTTGCTCTTCAGTCTCTGTTTCACTGATTTCAAGGGACGGCCAGACTTTTGCATGGCCTGTGGAAAGATGAGAAATACATTTGTGGTAAGTTTCCTGAGTTTGTACATGGGCACATTGCATAGTTATTCGCTAAATCTGAATGAACTTAGTTAGTTGTAGTGTTATGTTAGTTACACTATGTTAACATGCTCCGGCTATGTTTTATTTTACCCATAGGAGAAAAGGGGATACTTTCCACAGAACCAGACAGTTGGTGTAGTGGACATGAACCTTATACTAAAGCACACAGAAAGATCCCATTTTAATGACCCTCCTTCAGCCTACCATTAATTTGCAGTAGAGTAGAGTCCTAATTTTTCAAACCACTCGGTCGAACAGAAATCGGTTAAAAAAAATCGAGTTGTTTTCTTTTGGTCTTCTTTTTGACTTACAAATTTGTTGATCAATATATGTACTTAAAACAACAAAAATTGGAAACCTTATCTTTAGAGTACTCCCAAAGACATTTTCCCAGTTACCTCTATAAATTGCTCACATGCTCAACCTCTACTTCTTAGCTAAGCAGAATGCACCGATATAAAGCAAGATTTCACACATTCCACACTCTACTAGGTGTGTATGCATTGGAAAGAAACAGGACATCTACTTACCCTTGGCAAACCAGGAATTTCATTGTCTATCAATGTTGCAACATGATACTGGAGCATTTTTGTATCTTCTGCAATTATGTGAGCTGCAGCTCCATTCAGTTCATTCCTTCGAAGATTGCCATTTGCCTTCACCACATCTGATAGCTTGTGAGTCAAGTCATCCTGAAAAAAATAAAAAGTCAAAATTTACAACACTTGCAAAACTATGTAATAAGATTTGGTCACCTAATAGCTAATTTGAGTACTTCTATAACTGTTAAGCACAAATACTACCTCTTTTAGAGTGGTAAAAAGTGCACCAATGAAAAAACAAGTTAACAGCATATTTTAATGATATACAACATTATGAAATTGTTATCTCTTGGCAACAAGTTTCCATTTAATACCTATCGTATTTGACAGAAAACAAAATTAAAAACCTTAGAAAAGCAATGCTACACACCTCAAAATGTTAAAGCAACCCTATTTTTTCATGGGACAGAAGAATTGTTACAGGAACGTCACTGATTTAACACGTCACTACTCTTGCATTTATCACTTCACATTACCTGACTACGAGCAGTACCACTCATAACAATGGAAGGCCTTACAGCCAGCGGAGGCACTGGCAGCACTGTCACAATCAACCAATCAGGACGAGCATGCTTGGGACTCATTCCCAGAATTTCACATTCCTCGTCAGTGATTCTTTTAAATATTTCATGGACACGCTCTGCTGTTAGTGGAATCTTCTTTTCTTGTGAATCCTCATTCACTTCCTTCCATTCTGCTGTTAGTTCAAGGCCACTTCTTCTGATCTGTGGCTGGTTTCGACCACAACCACCATGACTCTTGAAAAAATTAATTTCACAAAATAAAAATATGACTACATTAGACAGAATATGCAGTTCAAAAAATCTGACGAACTGAAGAAATTGATCCTAAATACAGCATAACATTTTAATCTTGAGATCAAACTAGGGATCCTCCTTACTGATTGTCATACATTTCTCTTAAATATTTCAGTTCTAAAAATTTGGTGGTACTTTTCCTACTTATGATCAATTTTTCACTAGCCTGCAACCAATATAAAACTATGGCTTCTTCAGAAACTAATCACTTCCATTCTGTCCTAAAATAAATGAAGAGTGAAAATCAATCAAATCAATCAAATCAGCTCAACACAAAACCTTACCATCTTCTTCTCAGCCTCATCAATATCTTGGGATGGCAGTTTATCATCAACAATGTCACCACCTTCACAAACACGCTTTCCTTTGCACAAGTCATAGATGTGTTGAAGACGCTTCAGTGGTTGATTTTGAGACTTTGACAATATGTCTTTCACTTTTGGATTATTCTAGAAAAATAATTAAGAAACAATATTTGTGTACTGACACTGCCAAAAAGAAATTTCAATTTATTTTCAACTAGCTAACAATATTTCACACATGATTTAACTGATAAATTGATATAGCTAAGAATCAGTTTACACTTCAGCAAATAAATGTAAACTTCAGTTTCTATCTTCTGTGTATGGAAAATTAAAGGAAAGAAAATGTTTCGAATTTTTCAAAATATCGTACCACGTCAACCTACCTACCCTACCCCCGCTAGTGCTAATTTCTCGGCCCATGCCTTTCCGAGAAACAAGCCATTTTGCGAACGAAGCAACTTATGTATTTCCTCACCCCATCGACAAGAAGTTTTGAACAGTAGAAGCAAACGCATCTCAAACATTTGATTATCATCTTATAGAAGCCGACGTGGAACACTGGTTTTGCCAGCTCTATGTGTCCGTAATGCCCGGGACACTCCGTCATGTTTCCAGCGCAAGTTTGGCAACGAGAGAAACGGTCGATCGTCCCTTGCCGTGGATCCATCAAACCTCCCAGCTTAGGCCTTCCGCCTTCCATCGTTTCGGAGTACTTGATGCCGCCCTCAGTCGTAACAGACATTTGTTTCTGTTGAAATTGAAAAATCTAATCACAAGAGGTACTACTACGACCAAAAGATATCACTAAAACAGTCACTTTTAATACGGTCAGGTTAGCTTGACTAACACATGCATGCGTTCTCGATTGAATTAATCGATTACGAACGTGTTAGGACAAGAAAGCGAGTAAAAGACGAAATAAGAAAGTCTGAAACCCATTGGAAAGTGTACTCACTATTTCATCTGGGCTTAACACCCCAAACTGGACCATCTTTACGTCCCGTAAGGGAGCCGGTGAGCCAGACACGAAAGCCATAACTTTGCTTCAACAAGATGGCCGATTCGATGAGGTAATTTTATCCGAAACCTTTTCGTTTCTCCACTTGAAGCTGTCTCTCTCCGGACGCTTCAAACAGTATAACGTACTTCAAAGTCTGTCCGGTCGATTATTTTAGTTTGTTTTCGTTCGACTACGGGCCGACCTCCCTTCCTTTTTCGAAGGAATTCGGCGAAAGAACTCAGTTCCTTTGTTCCTGCCGAGTGAAGCGCCCCGAAAGCGCTTCTTTCCCCACTCAGTTCGTCGCCTCTTATTTATAGTGGGCCCCCAATGTGCGGGGCGCACTAAAATTCTTCAGGGGCGGATGTTGCATTATGGGATTCCCCGAGTGACGTCGTCACTTCAAACCTGTTCTGGGGGTAGGGGACAGCACGATTTTCGACTACTTCGAAATAAATCTTCACTTCATTCGTTTTCTTTTACTTTTCTCTATTTTTCAGAGTTCTCTTCATAATATTTATTGTCATACGGTTTTACTTATCTTCCACAAAGCTGTGTTTGTAAAATGATTGACTTACTGTGCAGACAATAGTCAGAAATTGTACCCTTGAAAACAGCCACTCTCTTTTTGCTCAGTGAGAAACCAAACAGCTGAAAGGGAATGATATCTGTCTGGCTGAGTGATGTTTACTCATAATAGAAAACTGACTGAGGGAATGTTTCATTCTTGTACTAATTTCTTTCTTGAGGACTTGAACAAATAATTATTTATGAATTAAAAATCTTTAACACTGACATGATGAGAGTACAGTTGATTGCTGTTAACCATCAAATACTCTTGCCAGATAAAATTAAAAAACAAGATAGCCACATTTGGGCAGGGGAATAATTTGCAAAGTAAAATTTGCCTCATTATCATAAATTTCACCACTAATTTTTCATTTTGATTATCCCTGAGAGCTGATAATATTATTTTTCTGTATTATATTTTCAAATTTAAAATAGTGTTTCACAACAGAAAGAGATGGACATTTGAAAGTTTTTAAATAAAAGTGATTTATTAACATTTTCCACAAACACATCTGTCCAAACAGCAGTTAGAGATTCCTGGCATTAAAATTACTGGTGTATGAGCCACAGATGAAAGGAGCAACATCATAAGTCTTCCCCATGTATTTTTACAATCAAGCTGAAATAACAAGTGTACTACATCCACTAAGACAGTATTCCCAAAGTTGGGATACCAAAATATCTGTCACTTCAGTTTAGAAAACAAGCGATGTCCAATCTGCAAAATACAAAGAAATCAAATCATTAAAGTAAACAATTAGTATGAAATTAAAATCAATAACAAACAAAAACACTGTTTTGAGGTCATTTAGTTTGCTGAAAAAGTGCACACTTTCATGTTGAGTTGAATGTTGTCCAGGCCAGACCCCTTGTATACCAGAACTTCTTGTTTTCACTGCGCCTTTCAATAACGTGGACTCTAAAATTCAACGCTCAACTGACAAATGTGTTTTTCGCTACTGTCAATCAAATGTTCAGCGGCTCCTCCCAGCTTCCGCCTACTGCCGAACACTGCTTCGTTGTCTAAACTGTACTCAACGATGTGATTTACCTCGTGCTCGGCAGTAGTCAGAAGCTGGGAGGAGCCGCCGAACATTTGATTGACAGTAGCGAAAAACACATTTGTCGGTTGAGCTTTGAATTTTAGAGTCTGCATGTTATTGACAGGCGCAGTAAGAGTTCAAAACAAAAACAAACCAGTGCAACTGTGAAAATGTTTACCTTTGATAAAACAGGACTTCAAGCTAGTCTTGCTGCGAGTATCTCCGCTACTTTGAGTAGTCAGACAAAATTTAACAAGTTGTAACACAATCTACTTACACATTTGTCTTGGCACTCAAGAAAATCAAACAATTCCTGTACACATGTCTCCTCCGTGTTTGACCGGCTACTAACTCGCTGATTGCACAGCTCTAGCTCATTTTTTAATTTGGTACATTCAGCATGTTCACCACAAGCATCTCGCACTTTGTCCAAGGGATCTTCTAGTTCTTCCTCATCCTCATCATCATCATCATCTCCGTCGCCACCATCATCGCTAGGTGCTTCGTCTTCCTTGCCTTCATCTTCAGGATCTGAATCCTCATCCTACAAAGGAGATTAGAAATGACAGTCAAAGATGCTTTTGAATGACCGCTATACTCAGTCATTAATTTACTTTCAAAATGCATGTTGAAGCCACAATGGGGGCTAAGGCCCAGGTCAAATGTTGAACTTTACATGAGGCAAACTAAGCTGAGTGAATCAAGTCCATGATAAGTTCAACTTTTGCCTCAACTGACTTTGTTTGTTTCATGTGAAGTTTGACATTTGACCTGGGCCTAAGTCACTTCTTTGTGAAATAATGGACTGAAAAACAATTTCACCATAATTTGACCATCTTTGCCCCAACAACTTTTTGGTCCCATATTGAAAACTATTCTCTACCATCCCTGAAAAAACCTATGAATATAAGTATTACAACTACAGTAAAAACTCATGCAAGCTGAGACCCTAGAATCCACTTAATGAAGACAGGCAATGAGCAGGACCATTCAAAGAAGAAAAGGGCTCTTTTTTATCAGGGTGAAGCATTCCTGCCTCGGCTGAATGACTGAATGGGCCAACTTCAAAAAATTCCAATCCAGGAATTCAACACTTCTGACCAGTTTTAAGAACTATTTTAGAGTACAATCAACCCATTTTGAAAGAAATAAGTTCTTGTTTACAAGAAATTTATTTTTGTATGAACAAAGCATGCTGAACCTTGGGAGAGTTTTCTTCACCTCAACCCAACAAAATAAAATAAAATAAAATAAAATAAAGAAATATCCAAGAACAGAAAAGTCAATAACTTTCACTAAGCTATTGTTTATACTGTTCAAGCCATTTAATGGTTTGATAGTTTAATCATTGATCAATCAGTGACTTTTTTGAAGTGTCAAAATATATAACCGTGGGTAAAGACTGTCTACTAATTGGGGACACTTAACTAAAAAAATTAATAGAAAGCTACCTAGTTATTTAATTAAAAATAACAAAAAAAAATAAATTATTTCATTAAAAAAGCTAAAATTTACTTATTTACAATAAGAAATAGCTATTTCCAATAATTCTTAAACAATAAGATGGTTCAAGACAGGCTAAGAGGTCAAGTGGTACATAGGACACAGTTCTCTCATTCGCATTATATCTCAGATGAAAGTTTGATTTAACGGATTTGTCTTCTGAATGAGTGCAGCAACTACAGGTTTCTTAGGTTAGGCAAGAGCTGATTCCACAGTTTAGGTCCTATATACCTTTAACAGTGTTTACAAAATGTGGAAATCTGCACCTATAAGGTTGTAAGTAGAGCTTTTCACTGAGAACAAATTTCTAACATTTAGGTCATGTTTAAATGTAAACATCAAACAGGCTATGTTAAATGGAAGCCAGTCACTTAGTGTTGAATTCAGGAAATAGCCAATTTCCAGTAACAGTCAGTAATACTACAGCAAAGTTCTGATTCATTTTAAAATTGATGATTTAATTAAATTACTGAAGACAAACACAAGTGAGCCCTCTCAAAAATAAATAAACTGGGTCAAAAGCTTGGTGTACAGAAGCCTGCCAGGACACTACATGCCAGGAAACTAATATTGGTGAGTAGGATAAACTTATGTCAATCTGATAAACGCATGCATGATTTTAAATTTTTGCGTGTTTGATAATCTGTGCAATCAATACACTATATTTGATAATAAGTGGACGGAACATTGATGATACGTTCCAGATAAAGGCAAGAATTCGGTTTATGAAAATGTTAAGTGAGACAAAATACAACACGTTTACACTTCAGAAACTCAGTTTTCCGCTAGCACCTTATAATCACACAGGTCACTCTGCAAATTTGATCAGTTCTCTCCGCACCGTTGTATTGGTCAATCTGATCATGTTTTGAAGCTAAAAACTACGCTCTTTACCCTAGTCAAACAACCATTTTACGTAAAATACCACAAGAAAAATACATAGATAAAGGGTTTTACCTGTTCTGAGACAATTTCCTCGCCTAGAACCGTTTTTTCTTCATCTAAGCCCATCTCGGCAACGTACCGGCACTCGCTCTCTTCTCGTGTAAGACCCGCTTAGCGGTCAAGCCTTGTAACTATGTAGCCACGCCAACTAGGCTGCAAAGGCTCCTGGGTAAATAGGCTCGCAATGTGTGACGATAAAAATAGTCGGCTAAGAAAGCGAGCAGATTTTTATTTACTTATTTACTATTGGATTGCTTACTTTCTGTGAGAACGAAATATTTCTCGTGTATCTATTTCCTTTTGCAACTACAAAAACTACTGATCCTCTGAAATACTGAAAATAGTCTATTTTTGAACGAAGTGTAACTGCAAAAAATGGTATGTAGGATGTAGTCCTGATACGAAGCCGTTGTTTCACGAACACGCCGATTTCCTATACTAACTGTGAAATGCATCGCAAAATGATAACCTCTTCGTTTGTAATCATCTCTGCCCAATTGTTCTTTTTCGAATTAGCGTTTATCGAAACTGCATGTTTATCGATTGATAGATGATTGTTTCGTAGCCAATCAGATTGCAAGGTTATCGATCGTACATTTCCTGGCTGTGTTAACTGTCCAGATAACCCGGAGATAAGGAAAGTCACTAAAAATTGCTATTTCCAGCTTTGGATTCAGTCTTTGTGTTTTTCATTTGCTGGATCGGCGCGCTTTATTTACTTTTTTGTCTTCTAGATCCCAGGTTGTTCTTTTTAATTTAAAGAAATTCGTTTTTAATCTGAAAAAAAGAACCGGTTTTTTTTTTTTGCTGTGTTTACTTGAAATAACATCTGTCATTTTAAAATTCGAGGACCAGACGTTTTTAATTTCTTAATTTGAAGAAATTCGCTTTCATCTGAAAAGACATTGTTCTTTTTTTTCTGTGTTTACTTGAAATACTATCTGTTATTTAAAATTCAAGGGCCTGGAATAAACCTGTGCCTTCGCGTGAAAAGTGGAATTATTTAAAACCAGAAAAAACGAAGACGGTTAAAATAACTGATATACTCTTTTTGAGATACCAATCAAAAGAAAAAGCCACGAGATGGCTATCAGACAAAAGGAAAAGTGAAAGAGCAGTAATTCTCTATTCAAATATAAGGTTCAAATCTTATATTCACGGTTTTGTATTGATCACCGTGTTTGATAAAGTTCACACTTGAAGTGCTCATTACGATCGAGTCAGTCGTGTGAACCTGAAGAGAGGAGTTCACCTGAGCAAACGTGAAGTTTACCCTGATAAAGCTCAGCCATGGAAAGATTTTGTCCTATTCTGTGCGTTTAATAGTTTTGTTTTTTTCAAAGATTGCTAAAAAGAAGGCGCTATTCAGGAATTCTAGGGTAAGGTTGGCGAGTTGAGTTGAAAAATGCGAATGAATGCTAATTCAGTTTTGTTTCAGGAGACGTGACGAAGATTATTCATATATTCTGGGACCTAATACGGTTTACCGCACTTCCTACAGAACAAAAGAAGTATCCTTGAAAGTTCAGTCGGAAGGGTAAGTTTGAATTTAAGCAATGGTTTTCCTATAGAAGAGGAAAAATTGGTCGGTTTAACTACGCGACGGTCATTGTTGGTATTCAACTAGTGTAATTCGACAAATTGTGAGCGACTTCAGTACACTATACACGCTGCGGGTGCCTAGAATATTCAAAACAAACTTTCTATAAAATACGGTTTTATATCGCCGTCTACAACTCGGCTAGACATTTTCAGGAAGATTTATGACGCGAGAACGTAGAACTGTGGCTGGTTGGCTTAAATTCTAGAATGCGTTACTTTTACACAAGCTTTTTTATACCAGAATTTGACGGTATCTAATATTAATTTGTTTTTTCTCTAGCCTTCATCTGATGCAAACGCAAGTCACGAGGTCGGTAACTCGATTTTTTTCATTCAATCACACAAAGATCAAGACATGATAAATTATATTAGTCGACAACATATATAATTTTGTTTAACATGCCTGTCACACGTACTCCGCAATCATTGCAACACTGGCACGAGTGAAATGTAAAGAAAGCTGCTGCCCTGTTCAAAGAGTTTATTTACAATGTATCTGTTTAATGTAGGAGAAGTTGCGTTATCGTCTCTGGGCTCTCCACAGTTTAATACGGAGGTTGTGGAAATATCCATAGGTTTTATACCGGGAAAGGATTCTAGGTTACCGCCTGACAGGTCAATAATAAAAGGCTTGATAAGCAGGACTTACGGTATTTTATTTATCTAAAGGTGAACGTAATAGTCAATTTAGGGAAATGAAATAATTAGTTTTGCTTTTGCATCTGTTTCGCTTAGCTTTTATTTTTAAATTTTAATAACTGATGGTCGACGTCTGCGATGATTCCATTTTTGTAGCCATGTGCGATAATTTAGCACTTAGACCTACTACCTTACAGCAACCGAAAAAATTAAGCTTCCAGAACTTAACTATTTTCTTAATCTTGTGGTCACGCAGATCAGAATGTCAACCACAGTCCTTGTAGTTCATCTCTTCGCATGTTTGATGAAGATAACAGTTGTTTCGATTGAGGCCTGCCGGTCAGTCAGGTCAGTTTCTGACTTTGCCCTCTTCAGACACACCTACAGGCAGATATCCGGGACACGCTTTGAATCTTGCGCCGCGACTTGTGACGCTGACCCACTCTGTTACAGCTTCAACTACTTCGCTCCCACCATGACCTGCGAACTTAATAACTCGTCACGACGTGCAGATTCAGGGAACTTTCTGCGCAGGTCTGGGTCTGTTTACTTGGACAAACTGAAAGAACCCGCGGACTATTGTGTATCATTTCCTTGTAGAAATAACGGAACTTGCAAGGCAGTAAGGCGCCATCCTGGGTTTGAATGTTTCTGTCACGATGAATTCACTGGAGCAAAGTGTGAAAGTAAGAAAATACGCTTAATGTACCCTTGCAAGTGCGAGCCGAATTATCGGTGTCCGCTTATATAAGGCCAGGAACCATAATCGGGAACGGAGACCGTAAGTCTTGGGATCCATGCAACATAGAACAAATTGCGCCATTCTGACGATTATGGCTCCTGATAAGGCAAGACATTCCATGCTTGTGTATCGTAGGGATCATGACTCCATATCCGCCTATGAGAGGTCCTTCCTTTCATAGCAGTGGCTCGATTGTATATTTTCTTTTTTGTTAACTGACAGACCTCCTCCCTTCACGGTCTTGTTACATGTATTGGTACGTGAAGTTAACTCTTAAGGCCTGTTCACTTTATAACGCGTTCTCCGATTAGCTTGAGCAAACAAGAAAGCCTATATCTACAACTGATTGCTAAAAAGACCCGCACTTATTTAAGGTGGCCGAACACAGTTTTCAAGAGCCTCTGCCTAATTCACCATTACTTTAAAGATATTTATGCTTTGGCGCCCGTTTTTT